AAGAACAACACCAGTTAAATGCCCGCCCGCTCAATCACTCACTCGATTAGTTTCATATCGTTCTACGTTGAGGCGACATTGGAGTTGAGCAGGAAAGTGCCTTATCAGTCCACTACATAACATCCGTTGTGTATTGATTATAGTTTATTCATCTACTTTTTAAAACATAACTGCTATCTGTAGATTCCAGCGTCCCGTTCTGTTGTCGTGCCAATGCAACGGTGATCTGTTAATTTCATATGAAGTCAATACGGTGCGATGCTCTACTGCCATTAAAATGGCTCAGCAACAGTTAAAGGCAGCTGTTGTCTCTTGTCTAATAGCTCACATAATTAAAAGCGATAAAACCCTTCCCATAATTGTAATATCTGATGAAAGCAGAGTTCATTATTCAAATAGTGATGACATCAGGTGTTCGCGAAAAGATGAGCATGTCCTGCCCCACAACTGGCGTCCATCACAAACACATGCAAAGGCAAATTAATATATGCAACTTCCAAATTCAGGACCATGCGGTCTTTCTCTGAGTTAGTGGAGTTTTTGGTTTGGTGAAACGTTTTCAAGCCATATCAAGAAACATTCACGTAGTTGCTTCTGTGGACTTCTGTTTGTAGACCCATCCATCAAAAATAGTTGCTGGAGTCATTTCTTTTTCTTTAACGAAACAAATATGTCTTGTTTTTATTTTATGCAGTCACAAAGGTTCCTGAAGGAGGGGCATGACGTCTTCCAAATCAAGATACTGCACAAACAGAACGTGAATTTGGTCGAGTGAGTGAGTGAGTGAGTTGGGTTTAACGCCGCTTTTTAACATTATTCCAGTTATATCACGACGTGTCAGCTTAATGTGGGAGGAAAGCCCGAAGTGATGCAGGTCTCAGACGTTTACCCTTCGGTGAAACCCACGAGCACGGGTATATTGCTGACAAACCTTGAAACATAATCGGGGCGAACCGGGATTCGAACCCACAATCATAGGTTTCTGGCGTGCCCAAGGGACGCAACTCTGCACAGTGAATCGCAGCGCCTTAGACGACTGGGCCACCCGTGCCCCCGAATTTGGTCGAAACCCTGATAAGAGGCAAACTATACCCCCAGTCAGTTTCAGCGTTGAACAACACTTGGACAGTTAGTGTTATTTTAGGCTGCACAAATACATCTTCTTGGTTTACCGACAAAATAAATTTCTTTGAAATGAACTGTATTGCTTGATAGAAGAAATGTTTTTTTGAGACCCTTGAAAAAAAATTCAGAATATTCAATCGGAAAACATCTTTTTTCATTCTTTTGTCTGCTTCCTCAGGAAAATCCATGAAACAGGAAAATACAGTTGTCTGGCCATATTATTAATAAACAAATTGTTTTGACCGTTGATATATTAAATTCTTTTCCATACCACTGTTTTGTGATTCATGATAGAGATATGACACTTCTCACAGGACAAACTCAAGGTGCCCAGAACCCCAAACTTGCCATCAGTGCTAACCATTGAGGATCGGCTAGTTACAATGTGTGACTTGGCCGGTTGTGTGTCATCGTGCCCTAACAATGTTAATCGGTGCTCATGCCGTCAATCACTGGTTTCCCTGGACCCGATTCAATCATTCAACCATCTTGATAAAGTTGTTATTTTGCTGAGTTTGGCGAAATATGACATTAATTTGTCTCGAAAGTGTTCTGTGAACATACTTATCCCAATAATGCTTCCACACCTTTGAATTCCGACGAATGCTAAGAATTTCGCAATATCAGAATGGAATCTCTTTGAAGTCTTAATGCTGCCAGTTTGAACTACTGAATGCGTTTTACTTTGGCTTTGAACTATTCTCTGTGTTTCCATTACTTCAAGTGGTGCAAGTATGGCGCTGCCACGTTAACCTTTAGATAATCGATCTCCGATTGTCGTCTGATGCATGCTCCAAATGAGGCCAAATACAGGCAACCGCATAGTGCTAGCATCATTAGCAGAAAAAACAAAGGTTTCTGATTGTGGACACAGAGTATTTTCACAGAACAAGCAACAGTTCGGGTATAAAACGTCCACAACAAAGGTGTCTTATGATGGTCCTATGTCTTTTTCATCTTCTTTTCATTAACCAAAGTGTTTCATAATCATAACAAAACACCCATGCTCGTTGGTAATCGTCACTTTAATGTTTTCCTTAATGTTAGCATTAGGAAAATGAGTTTCCGGATAAACGGGGCGTAGTTTAATGTTAGTCACTGTAACGCAACAAACAAGGGATAAAACAATCTCCCCACATGTAACAACGGCTCCATCTTAAAACTATGGAGGCCGAGAGGGGACATCCATTTCCTGCCTTCAATTACGGCCGCGAGAAAGCGATTCGAGAAATGAATATCGCTTTCTCGTCTCGTGTTACCGCTTTCTCGTCTTGTGTTATCGTTTTATCGCTTTCTCGCGGCCATGACTGAAAGCGAGAAAGCGATGTCCCCTCTCGGCCACCATACAAACCCACATCATAACTGTCAGGGAAGTGTAATCAGCGTCAGTATTGAAGAGTCTCCTAGGTATGTAGGGTGTCAAGCATGAACAACACGCGTCAATATGTCTGGGTATGTTGACAGTGTGTCTGTGTCACACTGATTGGAAGCTGTCTTCAAACAACGACTATTAAAATCAATGATTTGCAAGATTGCAAGGTGATGGAGAATCACACACCTGAACGCAACCAGTGGTTTAGCACATGCACGTGCAATAAACGCCCAAGTCAATGTGGGTATTAAATTGTTCATTCTAGATGCGACTGAGCTGCACTCTTGGAAGATGAAAATGCGACGTTTTATCTCTTACAATCTTCAATGACGTTGAGTATATATTGCCAAATGCAGTTAATGTCACGCCTTTCACATCGCCTCCGTGGTCAAGTGGTTGGGCGTGTGCCGCGTCATACCGAAAGACGTTACAAAATGGTACTTGTTGTCACCCTGACTGGCGCTCGGCCTTAAAAGGGCTGGTTGGCCCTGAGTCAGTGTACTATGTCTGCGTGGGGTATGCATACTAAACTGCGGCATGGATTCTCAGTTGGCTAGCGCTATAAAATCGGCATTAGTCCAAACGTCCTGTGAAACATATCAAAATGTCACAACCGTTGTTACATAGTAAGGATAAGAATTTATGGATGAACAACTTCTTTATTACAATTAAGAGCGACGTTTAGGTGTAGGTTCTAACACCGTTATCAAGCAAGTGCATATATATATAACGTTGTTGCATATCCTGGCACTATACTCACGGCGTTATATAGAGTCCCGTTATACAGGTTGACTGCCTCCATACTGCTCTTACCTAAGGGTGTTATAACGAGGGCACATAAATGCGTTATTTGAGAGATGTATTATACCAATTGAATGCCTCTGTGTTGTACAAACCCTATGGCGCCATAACGAGGTGTGTTATAACTGTACATGCTGTTTTTAATCTAATGGCGGAATAACGAGACGCATAATACCAGCTGACCGCTTCGAACTTAAACCAACTCTTAACTTAACTAAGCCATGGCATCATCACGAGTCATGTTATTCCCTTTGACTGCGTCATGATTGTAAGAATCTTATGAACGTTAACACGTGAAGTCCTATACCAGTTGCCAGAATGTTCCATACTAACCGTGTGGCATTATTAGACACATTATACCAGTTCGTCTTCGTTGTATGAACCTGATGGAATTAAGGGGCACGGGTGGCCCAGTCGTCTAAGGCGCCGCGATTCGCTGTGCAGAGTTGCGTCCCTTGGGCACGCCAGAAACCTAGGATTGTGGGTTCGAATTTTGGTTCGCCCCGATTATGTTTCAAGGTTTGTCAGCACCATACCCGTGCTCGTGGGTTTCACCAAAGTGGTAAACGTCTGAGACCTGCATCACTTCGGGCTTACCTCCCACATTAAGCTTGCACGCCGTGATATAACCGGAATACTGTTAAAAGCAGCGTTAAACCCAACTCACTCGCTCACATTCTGAACAAGGGAGATCTTAATCTTCTTCTCATCTTAATTCTGGCTTCCAATAACCTGTCCATATCAATCACTGTATGGTTTTCTTCAAGCATGTCTGTTTATCTTATTTATTTTAACATGTACTGCTAGCAGGCTTCATACTTCAACCTTACATGTTGTGTAAACTTCATCTATTATCCTTCAACCTTGTATAAACACCACTCATCCATATGTAAATAACCTTCCTACCTCACAATTCTGAACACCATTTGATAAGATAACGCTGTTAGTACCTCCAACGAAACGTCGCATTCATTACAAAAGTGAGTGAGTATGATTTAACGCCGCTTTTAGCAATATTCCAGCAATATCACGGCGGGGGACACCACACATTTACCCATGTGGGGAATCGAACCCGGGTCTTCGGCGTGACAAGTGAACGCTTTAACCACTAGGCTACCCCACCGCCCCTCGTTATAGTAAAGAAGATGTGTATCCGAAGAATTGTCTCCCTTATCAAACAAACTTCTAAATGTCACTTAAAGAACCAATGGAATTATTACGAGACGTCTTATTCCGGTGGGTGTATATGCTGTAGAAATATAATGCCCTATGGTATAATAACGAGATGAATTGCACCAACTTACTGCCTTTTAGTTGTACAAACCTTAAGGCGTTATAACGAACTGCTATACCTAGTGGTCTTAAAACAAGTATTATATCTCTAACTGTCTCGCCTGTCTTGGTGTCCATGAGAAAGGTATGTCAATTGCCGCCTTTTCTGAAAGGTGAGAGAGTCAATCAATAGAATGATGGCTGTTCCGATGTATGAACTTTCCACGTTTCATGAATTATGAACACAGAAGAGAGTATTTTGTCAGCGTGATGTTGATACTGCCTCAGATATTAATATTTTGACATGCATAACCCCGGTAGACATACAGCCAGGGGTGGCTAAAAGGTTTATATATTACGTAATGTGCTTTCTTGTTTTATCTTCATAAAGTATATAATTATATAAAAGGCCCGGATGGTTGTGTTGCAGGTCTATGCGGTCACAATGGTGCTACATCCAGGTATGACGTCACGAGAACATGTATAGGGAAGGCCCATATTTGGGGACTAGTGTACACCGGAAGTGAAACTCAGGGAAGTAACTGTTATGGACCGGAAGTGACGTAAGTGAAAGGAAGTGAACATTGTAAAGTACTACTCCGTCATCATATTCTTAAATTCGGAGTGCGTCTGCGTCGCCATGTTGCTGTGCTAGTATCGTCTGTGAAGACAACCATTGGAGGATATATTACAGTGTAAGAATTTGGGATTTTGTTCCGAAATAACTGTTGGAATAATATTGGTGCAAGATGTCGGATCAAGAACTGGATCCAGGCATAGAGATGGACCGCCTCGCTCTGCCAAATCTGAATAAGGAAGTCCCGGAGCCTAGCAACGATCCTCGATTGTCCCTCACCGCATCAACACCATCTTACGGAAGTACGCTCAGTATTGGACCAATAGCATCCACTGCAAATCTTCTGCGCATTGATCTCGAGCAAAAGATAAGCCGCCATACTGGCGAGGAACGGGAATTGTGGGATAACCGGTTTCAGTTTATGCTGTCGCTGATTGGTTACGCTGTTGGACTTGGCAACGTATGGAGATTCCCGTACCTAACACAGAAAAATGGAGGAGGTACGTTTTATTTTAACTATTCCTTGCTGGATTCTGCATTGATTAATGTTTTGCTGCTTATTAGTGTATTTTATAGAAAAAAGTGGTCTCCTCATCAAACAATGCTTAATGTTAGTAAAGCGTAAAGCGGTGAAATATCGTGTTTATATAATATATCTTGGCTGTTATGTCTGGATACGAATGTGATAAATATGATACTGTGAGAGAGAGGGAGAGAGAGAGAGAGAGAGAGAGAGAGAGAGAGAGAGAGAGTGAGAGAGAGAAAGAGTAAGTGCGAGAGAGGGTGAGTGTGAGAGAGGAGCAAGAGAGAGTGAGGTGAGTGTAGAGAGAGTGATAGAGAGAAAGTGAAAGTTTTAGAGAGAGTGAGAGAAAAAGTGAGAGAGAGAGAGAGAGAGAGAGAGAGAGAGAGAGAGAGAGAGAGAGAGAGAGAGAGAGAGAGAGAGAGAGAGAGAGAGAGAGAAGGGAGAGAGAGAGAGTTTATTCAGTATTGGATGCCACGCGACCCAGGTCATTAATTCAGTCACTTGCTATTAAATATTAAAACAATACCTGAATGCAATGTACAATGAAGTGTGATGTATTGCTGCCAATTCAAGAGAGTAACTAGTCAAATGTCTCTTCAAATAAACTGACTAAGCCTCTGTTAAAATTAACATTTTTACAGGACATTGATGAATGCATGATCGATATTTATTAAATATACATGCAAATAGTTTTTCCCTGCTTTTCTTAAGATATGGACAAGAAGAACAAATGATATTCATCTTCAAATAAGCCATGACGTTCACATAAACACACAAGAGGACCTGTTATTATTGCAGAACTTTCAAACCATGGGCGCAATGACGACATTTAACACTAAATAAATGGGACTTTTTATTTTCCTGTTTTATCGGGTTTTACCTGAAGAATCTAGAAAAGATGTGGTTAGTCTTTGTTCATGTAAGAATCATTCCTTGTATTTTGAACGAAGGAAGAGGAACCAGGTTTCCAAGGTAGGGAAAACCATTTGATGTAAACAAAATAATGTGAATATTTATATACAAAATTTATTCAAGATTAATCTATTCTGTTCTTTACATAAATAAAGCTACAAAATCATTTCCATATCCAATAGAAATCTCTGCATTAAGCAGAGTCGATAGTACAATTCCGACTATATCGTGAGCATGTGTTTATGAAACACTATCAAATAGTAATGATACCAGGTGTTAGCGAAAAGGTGAGCGTATCCTGCCCCACCGGTGGCATCCGCCACAAACACACGCAAAGGCAAGTCAACTGTTCACCTGAAAAAAACATGGGAACATATGGTACAAGTCAAAATAGGGAATTGCATCGGACATCAATTTTGTCACTGATGCGTCAAATTTGGAAATGTCCTTCACATGTTTACCATAAAACTTCGTGAAAGCTTTACTGAGGCCTTGAGTGTTGTAACCTTGATCAAACAACTTCTGAGCATGTTAACATTGTTGAAGTAATCACGTCGCATCACAACATACACGTGACGTTCCATCCACTGATTAAATTTCTAATGAGGTCCATTGTCAGCTGTGTTTCCCATATAAAGCAGTGGCCTATATCCATTACCTTGCTCCCAGCGACATACGCCCCCTAGGGGAACATTCTCTTACTACTCCCTGACATATATTCCATTAGAAATGACAGAGCAATCTACAGTGATGACCCTGCTACAAAGTTTATCCCGCAACCAAGATCCTAAAGCACATGGTCTTGGCCGTGTTTCCTTTCTCATGAAATGCTATTTTCCGAGATACATTATACCTAGTGTATAATGAAACTAAAAACCAAGAAGCCTTTTGATGTGCTTATTTTAAGAGGTGGTAATTAGGGACGCTGTGGTGGTCTTTAATAAACATCTTAATGCGAACATCATTAGCCTACATTGCCTGAGCCTTGGGTCATGGTGGTCTTTCTGCTATGTGTGTTATACACCGGGCCCGATGACGCCCACTAAAATACATTATTCAGAATAACACATTGGACGTGCTTGGACAATCATAATACCAAATTCGTTAAGTATCGCGAGTCACGAATGCGATAATGGAAATTGAGAGTAAGGTAGCATACATCACAATTATTCGAAATTCAATAATTTGTGATTTAATCCCGCTGACGTGTGTGCTTGGCATTTTTTAATGATGTGTATACGTTTCCAAGGTAACGTGTTGTGAAGAGGTAGTTAAAAGTAATTTCAATGGAATAATGTTAATCTGATCGCGTACGTAAAGGGAGATCATCGTCTTGGATTGACATAACCGATATGCTTCTGCATCGACTGAAGACCACTCACTATTCAAATCTAAGTCTAAAGAGAGAAGGAAGTTCAGAAGTTCTGTATACAGGCAAGTTATTTACTTCGTGACCACCAGTGAGCATAGATGACAAAAAATTCCTGTTGAAAGAAGGCTTGTGGTGGGGATGTCAGTTACGCTTTGCGTCTTTGAGATAACATGGCATTAGTAAAACATGACGGAAATAACATCTTGCTTAGAATAAAAAATGTGCCCGTGTACGTATAGATGGGTGATGAATTAGAGTATTACAAACGTTTAAAGGGGATACAGATAATCGATCCTAACTGAAAAGAATGGTGTGCTTTAGGTGTTCATTCATTAGGGGCAGATGCATCCTCCCGAGGCAAGAGAGTTAACTGACTATAAAAGTCCAGCTTCCACCCTTGCCGAACTAGGCTGGAATTCCTGGGCCCGATCATAGCGCTACCAGTGGCTGTTGCGAATTATGTCCCTTCTATGCCCCCCCTATGAACCAATCAGATTCAACCTCTCGTATCACTAGCATTTGCTTCAAACAAAATGGCGGCGCCCAGTCAAGACGATCTGATCGACAATCAAGATCTGTATTGTGATTAAACGGTTCTTACACCGCGAAGTGCATCAAATCACGTGAGCACCTTGATTAAAAACTTGAAACGATTTGGAAAATATCTGTTGACAACGAGTTTGCTGTGCACATGCTGTCCAAATCCTGCAATCGACCGAACTCTGCATGCCAGTTTACGAACCGGATTTCGGTTCGTGATTTTGATTGGACTATGCATAGACTCGTTAGCCCAGCCAAAATCTAACTCCATAATACCATCCTCGTTTGGCAAGGGTGGAAATTCGACTTTTTAAAGCCAGTTAACTCTCTTGCCTCTGGAAGATGGGGCAGATGTTGTGCATTCACGAATAGGAAGACCCGAGGTCTATTCCCCATCTGGGTAGAATGTGTAAAGCGCATTTATCATGATTCAAGACTGGCTTCCTCAGCAGATGTTTGGGTGAGATCAAGAACTTTGGAATAGCATCATAATGCTTTGCAGACCATTCTGACGTCATCAACTCGTCTTCATAGGTTTGATCTCGGTTGACACTCGGGTGAGATTCTCCATTTAATGTATTCCTTGTTTTGATATTATTAATAGCTGCAATATTTCTGTTTGTGTTTGTTTTGGTTTTGGTTTAAAGCTGCACTAAACAATAGTCCAGCTATATGACGACGCATGTAAATAATCGAGTCTGGACCAGACAATCCACTGATTGATACAATGACACACGCCCTCAACCAATCCATTTGGTCGTCTTTTACGTTGGTTGGTTGGTTTGTTGTTTAACGCCGCACTAAGCAATATTCCAGCTATATGACGGCGGTCTGTAAATACTCGAGTCTGGACCAGACAATCCAGTGATTAATATCATGAACATCGATCCACGCAATCGGGATACGATGACACACATCAACCAGGTCAGCGAGCCTGACCACCCAATCCCGTTAGTCGCCTCTTACGACAAGCAAAGTCGCCTTTTACGATAAGCATGGGTTGCTGAAGACCTATTCTACCCCGGATCTTCACGGGTCCGCCTTTTACGGCCAAAAAAGACGGACAGTGGGGTAATGTGTGGGGGGAAACCTATGCTTGTTATGCCAAAGAATAGGGTTTGATTCCAAATATTGCTAAGGGCGGCAAGAGAATCAATCAAACCCAAGAGGTTAGGAAGGAAAGGATACGCTATGCATGTCGGAGTGCCGAATTCTGAGCCCAGGTGTCCAATTTCACTGATTACAATCTTGCCCAGAATGCGTGGGTCGTTGCTCGAATACTTTCAATCACTGGTTCGTCTGGTCCAGATTCAATTATTTCATGACCATCATGATACAGCTGGACCAGTGCTGACTGAGGTCTTAAACAAAATCTACTCAATCAGTTCATTTAATGGATCTTGAACATTCTCTCTTCCTGTGAGTGGGACTCAAATAATCTGCATGGACATTCTATATTCAATACTTGAAAGATCGCCACGTTTGGGTACAATGTGTGAAGCTCATTTCTGGTGTACCGCACCATAATATTGCTGGCACATTGCTAAAAGCGGCGTAAAACCATTCTCACTCACTTTCGTCAACACAAACACACAATGTTTGCAGGCTCGTCCGCTTACCATTCACGCTTCAGAAAAAAATATCAGAACAAGTATAAAAAGAAACAGGCGTGCTTTTAATATCGTGATAATTTTCTGTATTCCGAACTATAAATATCTTAATATGTTATTGCCCCTTAACCAGCTCTCAGATCTTGTTGTAAAGTTAACTAATTCACAAATTCAAGAAAGCTATCCATTCGCCGAATAAAAATACTACGCTTTTTTTTATATCCTTTGAGCTTTTTAAGCAGCCAGTCCAGTAGGGATGAAAAACTGCTGAGTTACAATCTCATTCGTCATCGTATAATTCGTTTTTCGATAAAGTCATCAAGGGAATAATAAAATAACGTTTCCCTTTCTCGCTTTGTTGATTAGGGCGTAATTTCGTGAAAGTAATGATGTTTTGCAGACTTCTCTTGGGAGTCGATCAACACAGAAGAAATTAGCCGCTCACCCTCGTGATGTCCTTTGTATGTGCAAGACGCTGTTGGTCAGTGAAAATGCCATATTCATATTTGTTATGATGCCTTCGTTGATGTTGTTGCCATGGTG